AGTTAAAAAGTAGGAAATGAAAAGGAACTGTTCAAACAAAAGGCAAGGTTGACGCAGGAACTTGCCAAGCTGCGAGCAGCAGGTTTTATGCGGAATTTGATGATACAAGGTCGGATGCCTTCAGTTCTTTAAATTAGCCCACTGTCAACCCGAATCCAAATTTGTAATCTTTTTTCTTATGATCCAGCTGCAAAATGTAAATTAGGAACTGGTTAGGATACTTATATGACTCAAAAACATCTGCGAAGGAAGAGAAGAATGTGGATGGTGCTTTGTGAAAATCTCTTTGAAGCAGGTGCACATATAAATGGCTAGTAGAAGCTGACAAAAGATAATTTATCCGAAGTGCCAGGAAAAGCTGAAGCATCATGCTAAGAATCTAAAGATACCATGGTCCCATACCTCTGCAGAAAGAACAAAATTGAGACCCATATTCAAGCGTTCTTCCAAGAAGGCTGATGTGCATCCATTGGAATCAATCTTTCCTCTCAAACGGGCCTGAAATAACCACCAAAATCAGTATCAATTCAATACAGGCAAGTTTAAGATTTTAGGCCCATCAGGGTTGATGATCAAGGTTACAGTCAGAGATATCAAGACAACCTAGGCAATAATATGTTGACACTCCAAACATAATGAAATATCAATATATCTAATGGACATGTTAGAAATAAATGACAAATAACATACATTAAACCCAGCGGCACCACACCCACAAATTCAATTTGTTCATGCCCGTTGTTTTGAGAAATAGTAATTTTCAGTTTAACCAAGATCAGTCCTCAATTTATGAAAAGAGAGCTGAAATGACACTGGTATCCATATGCCACAACTCATAGTTTCTAAATAGGAAGAAAAACTGACATCACTCCACTTACTTGTCTGAGGGCATAATCATAGCCGACACTAGCAGTCACATCCTTTGATAAGTAATTGTACATGAAGTCTGTTGCTAGTGAAACCTTAAAATCAACAGAGAAGATTAATGTAAGAAATTTATTTAGATAAAAATTACAGTTTTCTCAAGACTACCTTCTCAGAAACCTTCTGCACGTAGCTCAAAGCCATCAATCCAGTGCTAGCAACTTGCCCTGCAGCAACCTGTGGGCAAAGATGTAATATTCTCCAGTCAAAGCAAGAAACACACATTTACAGGTAAGAATTCCGATACAAGTTTGTGCATGTTTAATGAGTTGAAAAATCTATGACAAAAGGTGAATGCACAGGATTTACAAGCTTGGTGTTTCAGTTAGAGTGCCAGCTAAGCAGAGATCAATAGGCTTTCCTCTTTATCCTTCCTGCTCTGCAGAATTATGGCTATAGACCAGACATCTCTTTCATTATAAAAAATTGCATAAAACCTCATAATAGTGAAAATGACACATGACATTTAATTTTGCACACTGGGCATAAAAGTAGAACCTGCTCCGGTTTACATTTTTTTTACATCTTATTTCATTCAGCATATAGTTCTTGATAATTAAAGAGATGAACCTTGTCAGTAAGTCATCAGATCTCTAGCACATGGAGATCAACTCACTAGGCTCATTAGGACTCCAATTATGGAATTGAAAAACAGGATACTTGTCCAATGCCTTGAAAAAGGCATGCTGAGTATTTGACGCCACTCCAGCACTTAGAAACAAGTCATTGAGTGAAGAAATAGGTTTTATGGAAATCGGAAGGCCAATGATAGGTGACCTTTGCTTGTATATCAATGCAAGTTACAAGAGTCAATGAATGAACCTCACACAGTACTCAAACACAACGATTGAACAATGATAGCTCATGCAATAAAGGATGAGTGCCAAACCAATTACCATCTTGTCCGTCTCATACCGGCCAGCATATCCAACACCAGATTTTCGATGCTGACCAGCCCAAAATACTTCAGCACCCAAAGACATATGAGGGGTCACACTCTGCATTATGAAGATCCAATAACCAAAATAACAATGAGCATATAACAATAAAAATGCAACTGAAGAGGAGGAAGAGGTGAAGTCCTTTGTAAGCTACTGAGCGTCATGAAAGATAATGACAATTGAAACCACCATTAAGTATAACTGGAAAAAAAAAAAAAAAACCTTTCTATATAAACTGTTTTAAGAGAACAGCATGCTCTGAATCGAAGTAACCAAATTATAGAGCTTGATACCAAGACCGATCATATATCTACCATACAGTACCTGAATGTAACTGGCACCGAATAAGGCACCATTTCCTAGTTGCAACTGGCTCCTGTAGTCTTTACCCTGTATGAGGTAAAACAACAACAGTATAAGCAGGAAAAGAAGCATGATAAATTCATCTTGAATACAGTTGACAACGATATAGATGCTTAAAGTAAAACAATGTCTGGCATACCAACTTCCATTGTTTGTGAGAGGAGAATAATCATGCAAAAAATATGTACAGATCTAAATGGTAAAGAGAGCTTCACCTTGTAATCGAAGTTCAACATGACATGGGACATGTGAGGCTCATTTGTAAGCTGCATGGAAAAGAATATAACATAATTTAAAAAGTTTACTTGCAAATCATAACTTTTGCTAGCATTAGGTAAAAAAAAAAAAAGGGGTAGAGAAGAAAAGAAGTCCAAAAATAAGGTGAGATGAGCATATATTTCACCTGAGCATTAGCCTTTAAAGCAAGATCATCAGTCAAATCACACTTCACTCTTGCATTTACTCTCCCATCGGTCAAAACCCTCCCGATAAGCATTGTCTACAGAGATCCGATAAAGACACTCAATTGAAATTATGACATGATAATCCCAGAGGGTTCATTAGTAAATGAATTGCAAAGGAAAATATGTCACTGACAGCCCACCTTTTGGTCTATAAAGTTAGCACCAAACTCATAGTGAGCAGTAGGGATTTTGATGGCTTCTGAAGATTGAGAAGGAATTTCCATAGGCCCCATCATCACACTAGGAGATAATGAGAAAAGTTAATGCCAAACTCCATGATAAAAAATGAATTAAAATGTCTGAAAGGAATTTGAAACAAAAAGAAGCCAGAACTACCTATGACTGAGAGAAAATTTCTGATTCAGTCCTTTGGTAAAATCAAAACGCATCCCCTCAAAATACTCAGGCTTCAAAGACACTGCATAAACATTTTTTGGAAATTAGAAATCAAACATATCAAAAAGGAGAGCATTTTCCACCCTACGCTTCTAAAATGAAATGCATTACCACCACTTACACAATAAGACTCAGCAACTACATCTTTTGAATGACAGTAATTTATTATATAGCATTCAAAATGCAGCACGAGATGATATGCGACATTCTTAATGAATTAGTGTCTAAAGCTTAAGGCATGTCACCCTTCCACGCAGGTTTGGCTACCACAGTTAACCCATGAAGCACCATGAATGTAAAAGATTCAAAAGGCAAACTCTCGTTAGCACCAAGAACTAACCATCATTCTCGTTATTGACAGTAATCTACTTCGTACCAAATTCAATCATAATAACCTGAATCAAACACTTTTTTAATATAATCCAAATCTAAAATCAAAATCAAAAACTTAATTTCTTTTCCACTTTTGACAAAACTAACCACAACATCATAGCAAGAATGACAATTTCAAGACACTAAAACATCAGAATCCACAAAATGTCACAAACTCAAAACACTTCCTTCAAATCTCAAAGTCACACAGTCCCACTTCACTCCACGCACAAAACTCTCAACACGTGACCAAAAACCCATCTTTGATTCACCTCAATAACCACAAAAAACCAATAAAAAAAACTTTATAAACCAAACCCCCCAAAAAAGACCAGCCAAAACTTAAGCCTATTAGGGTTTCACAGTCAGATTAATCACTAAAACAACAAAAAAAAAACCAAAACCCATTCCAATAAACAGATCGATAACGAAAATAAAGATAGAAAACGAGATAAGAAACTGAACTGAGTGCTTCACGATGGAGTTCTTCATAGGGGATTGGGCAAGGAAGGTTCAAGTAATCAACTTTTTTGTGAACCTCATTGATCTTTTTGGCTGCTTCTGATGTAGCTTCATTGCCTAACAACGTTGTACCTGGAGGTACGAACCCCGCCATTGTTGCCTCTTGAGTGCAGTTTAATCGGGCACCAAAGAGAGAGAGGCTGCGAGAGGAGAGGCTGTGCTGGGGGGCTTTTGTTACTATGGGGTTTAAGGAAGGGCTTTATGGGACCTTGTCTTGTGGGTCCATACCTTCGTTTTTTAGGGTTTTTTTGGCTTAAAATTTCTTCTTCTTCTTTTTTGCAATATATATATATATTGGTACGTTGGCTGTGATTCTGAAGTGGAAATTTAAAAGTATTGAAACGAGGAAAATTTTTGCTGTGCTCTTGGTTTGATTCAAACTTTATTTAGTCCTTATTGCATAAAATATTGCAATATTATAAATAAAATTAGGTTTGTGTCTTTATTAATATAGTATCATGGAAATCATTTGAAATTCAAAGGTATTCTAGAATTTAAATAAAAATAAAATACTAAAAAATATGATAGCTACTTACATCGAATGTATTTGTTTTATAATTTTTATAAGTCTCATAGCTTAAATAATAAATAAGTTAGATTTTAAATTCTTTACAGCAAATATTTTATGAGAGTAGAATTATTGAGTAAAATCAATATATATATATAGCATTTAAATAAATTTTTTTAGAGGATTTTACAATTTTTCATACTCGTTGTGAAAAAATAACTGATATATTGTTTAGTAAATTATGGCTTTTCATATTATTTTAAAAAACTTTTCCTTTTTGATTCTCTTACTGATATATTGTTTAGTAAATTATGACTTTATTACAATGTTGGTTTTTCTCATAATGATCGGGTGTGAGTTTGTTTTTTTGAATTTAGATTTTTTTACCAAAAAAAACATGGTGCTAAGAAAAAAACGTTCGCTTTTTAATTTAGATGATCTTTTTCCTAAAAAAAACTTAAATGATCATTAAGGAAAAAACCCATGAAAATTCTAATTGGTCTTTCATAAAAATGAGCAAAGTCCTGATTCTTATTCAAACACCATTTTCAAGATGCAAACTTTTGACCCATATCCTTTTCGGGTCATAAAAAAAACGCCACCGTTAGTCCTCTCTCTCCATCTCTCTTGCGGCCAGAATGTATTCAAGCTCAGGTAACAGTAACAGTTACTACCAAAACATCATGCAGCAGCAGCATCTCGGGATGAGTCGAAGAGACCGAGTTAGAAGAGCACGTGACAACTCACGTGATGGGGTTGGTGAGGAACAAAATGTCACTCCTTGTACAGAGTTTGACACGGCCTACTTTCACAATTATGCTCATGTTGGTATCCATGAATAGATGATTAAGGTAAGAAAAAAAAGCTTCAATCTTTATTAATCTGTTCTAAGTTTTTGTACCTGGGTTTTTGTTTTTCTGGTAAATTGTTATGTTTTTTCTACAAGGTTTTAGGTTCTCTTGTGGCTGTTTTGTTTGATGTATAAGTGCAGGATTTTGGAGTTTAAGGTTTTTTGGCAATGTTTCTTGAAAGTGAAATTCTGTTTCTTGAATGTGAAATGGGTTTTATGCTTTGTTTTGTTGAAAGATTTTAAGGTTTTGTGGGGTTTCACTTAGTAGTTTTATGTGTTTGATCATTTTTGGAATGGTTGAGGTGGCGTGGCTTGTTGACATTGTTAATTGAGAAGTATTTTGTGTTTGGAAGTTAGGAATTTGGTTCATTTGGGGGCGTTTCTGTTCGCAGTCAAGAGTTTCTTATTGAATGATACAAAAATGTTCGAGCTTTTATTCTATGTATGCAGGATCATGTGCGGACAAACGCATATAGGGGTGTAATCTTTCACCATCAGATTGTGATAGAAGGCAATTAATGCCATCATGGTCAGTATTCAGTTGTTAATCTATGATATTGTGCTCTTCTTGATGTAAAACTATGTTGCATTAAGCTTTCTGTCTGCTTGCTGCCTTGGCATAGAGCATTTATCAAGTACCTCTTTGATTTAATCCCAACAGTTACGAAAGATGTATGATTCCATATGCTTAAGACCATGAAATATATAATGTCATATAGTGAAAGAAAAAAGCTTCAAAATCTTATACGTTGAACATCAACATTCTGCCTAGTGGCAAGAAATTTTAGGAATATTTGTGCAGTATGTGCCCTGATTGCTCAATTCGAACACTTGTTCAGGTTGTCGTGTTTGTCGTGGATGTTGGTTGTGACACAGGAATTCTTTCAATATTTTGTGCTCAGGATGGGGCAAAACAGGTAAGATATATTTGAGCAATTCTTTTACATGGCAATGCATTTTCTAGTGACTTCGGAAGTGTATTAATGAATTGCATAAATAATCATCACCTATGTCCAAAAATGATTCATGTTGCTTGCCATCCATGTTGCAAGGTATTGTCTCATAAGCTTTGTCTGTGATAGATGAATCCAAAAATTGAACTCTCATATTCCATGGTCATTTTACATGGTGCATGGGAAATGCCAATGGTTAAATGTTGATGCAATGTTCTTTCTTTGTAGAAATATTCAAACTTTAGAATTGATGTTGTTACACACACACACACATACATGTCAGAAGGCTATATCTTAGAAATTTTATATCTCTCTCCTGAATTCCTGAAGTGGCCATTATGAGTTGATTCCTTCCAAAATTCTGTATTCTGTTAAGTTGTCTCCAGAAAACTAGAAGTTGCTGTATTTTATTGTATTTGGAGAAAGCACTCTGATTCTTTCATTAGGTTTGACTTTCAATTAAGGTGATAGACACACAGACACCATTTTAACACTGTTCTTGCATGAGTTTCAATCTACACGTGCCTCACATTTGAAAGATATTGTTTCACCAGCCTAATGCAGTGGATGCAAGTGATATTGCTGTAAAGGTACTTTGTTACACTAATGCTCATCTTTTTGTATTACATTTTCAGTGTGTTACGTAGCTGTTTGGTTGTTACCGTCTATGTGGCTTGTGTGACTGTTTTTTAACATTCTTTTTCAATAAAAAAAAAGGATTTTATCAATACTCTCACTGTTGTTAGGGGGGAGGGAA